AAGTTTTTAACGGGTCCCCTTCCGAGGGAGGGAGGAGAAGGTGACGACTCGACTGATGGCGGCGTGGACTCGTGGCTTCGCTCGCAGGTCCTTTCTCGATTGTTTCTAGGGACTACTGTGTTGTTCTGCCTCGCTCTCTTCATCTACCCGTCCACCCTTCGCTCCCTAATGTCTTCTTCGTGGTCGTTCCCTCGGGGACGACGCAGCCGCGTTGATGCCTCGCCTCGTTTTGGTGCCCCGGGCCTTCCTTCCTTCTTTGGTTGCTATCCGCCTTTGCACACAGCGGGCTTTGCCCCGCGTTCCACCGGCGTCCGTGCCTGCAGTGCGTTTCAACTGCGAGCGCATTGTTTCTGCACCGCGGTGTCATCGCTGTCGTCTCTGCCTGCTGTCTTGATGACCGCGTGATTGTGGATGTCGCGGTGGTCTCTGCCGTCTTTTCCCGCAGGGCAGATTGCGACCTTTTGTAATCCGGTTAAAAGAACACTTCGCGGACCGCTGTGTTATTTCTCCCTTTTAACCTCATCAAAAACAGGTAATAAGAAAGTGTTGTGTCTGTTTTACATTTTTCCTCTCTCACTGAATGACGCGGCAGGTTACAGAGGCACCCGGGATTGGTGAGATTTTTCTCGAGAAGTTGTGGTGGCTATGTTAATTGGGCCAAGTGTTTTTATTGCGATTGCTGTTTTATGGAAACTCTAGACAAGTTTATGCCATCGGCGTCACTGTCACCTTCCGTATAAACTCCGCATCGATAATATCCCCTCGCGCGTTGCATATTTCATCTGCAGCTGAATGAACACAAGTGGGGCCGACAAGCGCGGGTGAAGCGAACCCGACCCTATCTCAGTAGCGCTGAGTACGCATGCGATGGACATTATCCCGCGTAGTGAGGTCTGCTGTCGATTGGTTCTCAAAAGACAGGAAAACGCCCCCCCTGTCTTGCAGAAGCATGAAGGAACACGTGGGGGCGAAGGTGAACTTTCGAGGTTAAGGCGCGCGGTCCGTTACCGTTAGCGCGCGCGCTATCTCGGCAGGCATCAGCGGACAGCTTAAATATCCTTCTACGTGCTGTGCTGTCCGCACGAGGATACTTTGCGAGACCGTGGTTCTCTCTCCGAAGCGCCGTAATACCTTACACTCAGCGTTTTGTAGCAATTGCATGCCATCGGCCCTGAAGAGGTACTTACCTACCGGCATTACTACGTATGGCATTACAGTTTGTTGCAATCGCATTGATTGCTTCGTCCTTGCTGCAATGTTTTTTGTTGTTGTTTTTTACGCGCACTTAGTGACCCTTGTTTTTCTACCAAGCGCTTCTGCTAGATCAGGTACTTACGTTTTTTCTGAATATTCTAACAAAAATTGTTTTAGAGGATGAAAGGGGTACAAAAATTATGGTAATTTTGCAAGTCATATCAAATACAGACGGAGATTAGGTTTACTCAACATTATGGCAAGTTAACTGTAATAGTTACAATAAAGTTCATTAGGAATACAATACCACATCTCCAATAGCCCGGCCACCAAGCCGTGGCATTTAAAAGAAACGAGAATAAGTAAAAATATAGGCCTATAGTGAAGAATTGTGGAGTCAGTGTGTCAATGAATACAATCGGCTGAAAGCTGGCTTTCTCCCTTGAGTTGTTTTAGGCAAATGTGCAACGGGCAGCGGGATAAGAATATTTACTTTATTATATTCTCCCTTTCGCGCGAGTAATGTCTACCGCCAGAGCTAGTCACTCTTCAAGAACCACACTTCTATATAGTGTACCTTCGAAAACGGGAAAGTCTGCACTAAGCCACGCTATGCTGGAAACAGTCATGATACTGAAGACTCATGTGGCAATTGATTCTTTTTTCTAGGCTTTAGTCAGGTTATGCAGGTCGTTTCTAGGTTACTTATACGTTGTCACTGAGCCCTAGCTAGGGGATGCCAGGTTATATCTACACTGATTGCCAGCGCGCAGAGAGGTTCCAGATGAGCCATATAAAATAACAGACATGACACGGGCACGCCATCGTCACCGTATAGGCCTTCCGGTGCTTCGAGGTCCTCTCGCATTTGCCGTTGGCTTTCCCGTTTTGTACTAGCACGTACGCCCATTTCATTGTTACTGTGTCAGGGGTGAGCGATAGCAATTACCCGATTCCTGTGACACCTATTCGTTTATGATGAAAGTAGCTTTCTGACAAATGACACAAATTACAACTTGCTTGAATATCTTCGTGGTGAAAAAAAATTGTTTTGTGTCAAAACTGACAAAAAAATTACAAGATATCGCTACAGATTTCATTTAACTCGCACGCCATTAAAAGACTGACAGCATCATATATCAACTAGACGAGCATCGTGAATGAAGTCGTAAAAGCCTTGCGCCACTTTGGCGCAGTTTGGCGCACATCATTTAAGGAAATTACCTGCTTGCGTGGCTGGACAGGAAGGGTAGCCGGACGCGAGAAGTTTCAGGTGGAGGGGAGGTGCGACTGCTTTAGAAAGGCGTATTACTTTGGGCAATCAATCTGTTGTGAACTCTAGCTATGCGTGTACTTCCTTTCACACTCCTCATTTAAAAAAATCTTCGACGCTTTCTTGGCGTGTTTGCAGATGCTTCATAACCGGTCTAAGGGCCCACTAAAAAGTGAAATAGAAAAAAACAGAAATTAGAAAAATAAATAAACGCGGGATTTCAATGAAATAATACAGGCATCTAATATCTGCTAAGCCAGATCGAGTACAATGCTAGCGTTCTGCATAACAAAAATTAAACAGAAAATACGTTAAAAGAAAGTGGTCGGGCTGCACCGAGCACTTGGCTAATAACTGCAAAGTGAATTTGTAGCTCGATGTCGTTACAGAGCTTGTTTCACTAATGCGCTTATATGCGCGCGCCTTTGTTTTTTTTTTTCCCTCTGCCTTGCTTGGTTATCTCTCTTGAGCCTTCCGCTGCAAGTCTCTTTGTCATGTTTTGTAGAGTGTGCCCCCCCCCCCCCCGTGCCTTACCTCACTCTTCTTCTTACCTTTTTTTGAGGCGAGATTAAAAATTTGAGCCGGTTTCGTTCTCGGCGTAAATTCACTTTACCATCGTCGTCGACTTTGTTGTCAACAACCGTTTCTTGTCTTTTTAAGTTTTTTTACTTGTTGATGTAGCTGCTACGTTCTTATACGCTTTTTTTTTTAGTAATCCCGTTTTTGTCGTCTCATCTTTCGTCGACAGTATGTCACGGAACTCGTCCGAACTTGTTCCTTTTTTTTTCTCCAAGAGTCTTTTACTTCTTTCATAAAAAAAACAAAAAATATCGTGGTGCAGGGCGCCTTCTGGCGCACGCAATTTCTTTTTGCTCCAACGCCGTGCTCTCTCTTTCTTTCGATTTTTTTTTTGCAGTGTTGACACCGGGAGTCATGTTACGCAAGCCGAGATTTTTTTCTCTTCATTTATTTCATAAGCTATTTCTTGTATTGCTGATTCTTATTCACGCTTTATTCCCGCACACTGTCTCCCAGCGTAAGCATTGTCGGGCTAATTAGATTCCTTTGCCGCGTTCGCGTAGTCTGAGTTATCTCGAGTTTTACGTCATGTTTTTATCAGTCCTGCTATTCTTTTATTTAATATTTCCCTGAGCTCGTGCGATAGATGGCGAACGTAATAATAACGAACGCCTCTACTTTAGGATCCACCCACCGCTGTTCTCGTTGGCAACACTGGTGCTTCAAAAAAAAAAAACTTTTTTGTCCGGTTAACTGTTAGTTTTTTTTTTCCTTTTCGGCGTTTCCATGAACATGTAACGCTATTAATAACAGCACTCTTCGCTCGCTGGTAACTTTAAGCGTGAATGCCTCTTCACCCAGATTTAACTTTCTTCCAACTTGCCGTGTAGCGTCAGGTAACACTGACACAGTACGCGGGGGTGAGGACAGGTGTGCTGTTCTTGCATTGATTTTCTTTTTTTTATGTTTCTGCGTGTTGCCGTCCTTCTTCTCCGAGATAAGCACGTATTCGAATATCTCGTCCTGAAAGATGAAACTTGTTATATTTTTGCCTGCGCGTCTCTGGTCGCTGAAGCGCACTGTATTTCATGTATATAAAATGCAATCTGAAACTTTTGTGGCTATGTAGCGCTTTATAAAACATTAGATTTAGAAGAGTGACTCGAATAAACTTGGAATACTGTATGTGTGTGTTCATAAGAGAAGGCCACGCACATACACATTTTTTTAGTATCGCCTAGTGCGCGAAATATCATAATTTTCTGTGCTCCCTCCGCTCTAAAAGGTGGTGGTATACAGTCGCGGATAGAGTGTGTTGTTTTATTTGTCAAGTCTGTTCAAATGTGTATGAAATGATCTTGGTGAGTTTTCTATCAAATATTGTATCATTAATTGTGGTTTGTCCTTACTGTGTCTTCCACTCAAACCTTTGCAACCGTGAAAACGCTGTTTGATTGAAAATAACCTTCATATTTTAAAGGGTGCAATACGTTTTTATGCAATTCGCAATCATAACCTTGAATTTCGTAAGGTGTATACTCTGCACCCATTCCAGCCAAAGTGTTGTTCTTTCAGCTTACGAAAATAACCCATGCTACCTCCCTTATCAATTGGTGTCAATGCAGAGGTGTAAATTTAACAGAAAATTACTCCAAGATGGGCGGAGGGACCACTAATTTTTGTCTCTAACTGTGATTTAGTAGTCATGACGTCAAATGAGTCGTAGCAGACGAAAGATAATCATTTCTGTCTCTTGAATATGAACCCAAGTCACGTAATTCAAAGAATATGAATTTGAATTCCACTGACGGAATCGAAGGTCTTTCGTCACTTTTAATTACTTGAATTTACGTCGTAATTACTACATTGCACTTAGAGACAATTACTGGGCCCGATTATTCCTTTGACGTAACTGTTTGGATCGTTCTTCTTGTTTTCTAGTACAAAGAAATGAGCCCAATATCTTAGAAGGGTGCTAAACGGAGAGAACTTTTTCAATCTTGCTTTTGCGCAGGTGTCGTATGCCCGCCCTAGTAGTGAGGCTATTAAGGGTGCCAACCTGTACGTCAGCGGACTGCCCAAGTCCATGACTCAGCAGGATTTGGAAGGGCTCTTCTCTCCCTATGGCCGCATCATCACTTCGCGCATCCTCTGCGACAACATCACCGGTCTGTCCAAGGGCGTCGGCTTCGTGCGCTTCGACCAGCGCGTCGAAGCCGAGCGCGCCATCAAGCACCTGCACAACAGCGTGCCGGCCGACGGCGGCGCCACCGAGCCCATCACCGTCAAGTTCGCCAACAACCCGAGCAACAACGCCAAGGCCATCGCGCCGCTCGCCGCCTACCTGTCGCCCCAGCGCCGCTTCCCGGGGCCCATTCACCACCCGGCTAACCGCTTCAGGTACGGCCGTCATCTCTACTGCCTGTATACTTATGAGCCTGTATAGGTATAAATCTATTCGCAGCCAGGCTAACCGAATAATCTATTCTGTACACTATCTAGAGCCTAAATATATGCAATACTACTACGTACGTCATACTATCTGAAGTTTCAGAGTGGCATCCCAGATGAAGGGTCGTAACAATCTGGCGCACCAACGTGTCAGCTTTGATGGCGCAAAGGCAGCATATTCACATCGTGGTTAACCTGCTTCGTTATTACAACGATGTAACCGCTATGTTATCAGCCTCTGTGGGTCAATAACGAAATAACATGTGAGTCACCGAGTTCTATGCAATAAGTCCTAAAGCGGAATCTGGCGCAGCGATTGTTCTACACCCATGGAAATCATGGGAAGAGCCGGCTTTGGATTGGGTGGCGTTAGCCAGCGAACTGTCTACGGACCTTTTTCTACAGTTAGTTTTGTTCTCCGCGCAGCATCGGTGATCAGAGGTGGCGCAAGTCATCGAAGCAATGTTTTTCTTGCGCAAAGAGGCTGAAGGCCATTAGGTCTGAGATACGCTGCCACATTGGACCTTTACAAGTTAGATTTGATAGTTTAAGCAAAGCGTCGTTCTCTTACCGCTGCGCATAGATGTAGCGTCCCATGCCAGTGCAGGATATCGCGTCGAGTTCACGTTTTTTTTTCATTATCGCTTCTTGCCAAAACTCATTTAAATAAACTGCAAGACAAAGTCGAAGCTTTCTAAACTCACCGTGACGCTCCTCCGACTCACTTCACCACAAAACGAGAGGTTCGTTAGGGGCAGACCACTTGGATAGGCACACCCGGGATCACTGCAGACAATACGTCAAGTGGTTCTAACATAATACTGTACGCTTATTTTCATATAAATAATGCATTCTTTCATGGGTAAAACTGGAATACTTGTTTTCAAGTGTTGGAAAAAAAAATTATTTATATCTTGATGCCAGGTTTGGAACGCAAGGGCAGAGCAATGCATATACCCGATGGTCAAATTTGTCAGGTGTCACTTCCACCTCATGGTCATGGAACTTTTTTTGCCGTAACGATAACTTATAACACTTTGTTTTATACTCGGCAAACAAGTGTCGCTAATAGAGAGTTTTAGTACTGCGGAATGGTGCTACGTACGCATCACGCAAGCGCCTTGCGTTACGTGGCGTCCTTTGCCACAGATCGGCTTTTAGTACGCCGTAGTACCCGCGTACGTAACGAGCGTGAAGCGTGTAGCGTCATCTGGTAGATCAAAATAGAAGTACGTGTTGTTGACAGCCAATGTGAGCCAATCCAAGTGTTATAGCCAGATTATGGCCATATTTTAAGCCACAGAGCCGGTCGGTGCTTGCCTTCGATGCCGCCATTTTGCAAAACGAAGTCTCGCGCTGTCGCGAACTTGTTCGAGAGCTGCGCGATCATCTCATGCGTGCGTACGTAGCGGCTGCGTACGTAACGCGATACGTGCGCGTTGCGGTCCGCGCATGCGCACTACGCAGAACGTGGCGTTCTTACGTACGCAACGCCGCCACGTACGCAGCGTACGCAGTACTAAAACTCTCTATTATCAAGAACGTAATCCATCCGAAGAACATTCAAAGCCTATGCTTCTCATAATTCTCACGGGGGCACAAACACCACTGAAGGAGCCCGCGTCTATATTAGCGCCAGATTCCCCTCTAGGTAATACTTTAGGGAAACCGACGTAGTGAGTTATTCAATTATGATAGCAATTTGACGCCACGAACTTAGTGGGACATTATTATGGCGGTTTCACTGATGTCCGTACTAACCATCTCTATAATCGTGAGTTTATCCCTGAGCCCCGGGCTTATAACTTTCAGTGATATATATTCTATGAAGCTAGTATGTAGTTGTAACTGTCATTGAAACAGTAAAAATGAGGACTCGCTCACTGGATTTCGCGCCAACCGGTTGTGCCTTCGCGATCTCCGACGACAGCGCAGCTCTCGCCGACTGGGCTCGCCCTACGCCATTTCCTGACGCCTACAAGAGCTCTCGCTAAGTGGTGCCCCGTCCGGGAACTCTTGCGACCGTTTCAATCTTTCCTAACTTCTTCTTATTTCCCTACGTGAGTCTCTCTGTGCATGCCCCTATCTCTATCTCGATCACTTTAATCCTCCCTATCCCTTTTCATCTCTCTTTACCCCGATCCCTCGTGAGCCACTGTTGAAGTGTCGCACTATGATGCAGACAGTTACGGGTCTTAGTTTTATCTTTTTTTCTCTCTTTTTAGAACCACTTACAGTAAAAACGATTGCTGCCGTTTTCTATCCCATGATCTGAATACGGCTTTGAGAGTCGCCGTCGATCAAGGAGGGCACCGCCAATTTGAAACATTTTCTTTCTTGTGGATCTAAATCTGTACGCGATTGTGGCCTTCAGCTTTTCGCCTCCTTCAAAATGCGGGATACCACTTCGGCGGATACGCGTCTACCCCAGATCCCTACGCTCGTGTACACAATGGCGGATGTCCACTACTGACAGAAGCCGGTTTCTGTCTTGCAGGAAGAAACAACGTGAACATTTTAATTCCAGGGACCTCAAGCCACTCGCACTTGCACGCTCTTGCGTTTATTCTTTCTCGCAGCCACGACCATCGCAAATACAACAGAACGCAAGGGCTTTCGTACGCAATCCGCTTTGGTCTCCGGCACTGAAGCTCTCTATTTCGGGCGAGTTGCTTATACGCAGCGTTGGAAAATCGCGTTGTGTAGCTTGTCAAGAAGAGTTCGCACGATGTTGCTTGTTCAATTACATTCGCCCTTTCGCCGATTTCATTAGCACGGCGAGAAGCAGTTCAAATACTTCGCGGAAGCCATTTATCTGGGCGCTCAATTCTGCGAACCCGAAAACGCGACACACCGGATGGGCAGTGCTACCTAGCGCGATAGAGACGAACCAGGAAAACAAATTGCCATTGCATTACAATCGCGCACTGTACTTCTCTAATGACGTAAATTCTAGGCTGTGGCCTTACACCGAATGAGTTGCTTATTGAACTCATCTACCCCGCAAGGGCACTAGGCGGAAGCGAACAATCCTGTATCTAGTTTTGATTTACACGAAGGGCCACAAGATATCGATACCATCGTTGGTTATCCGTTATTTCTCAAACCTCTTTGCGAGCACCGGAATGTCTGAGAAGGTAAAAATTTATATCTGGTTATTGTACGCCACAAGAAACGTAAATGTCGCCATGTTTGTCAGATATTACGTTTTAATTCTAAGCTTTCTAAACCAGGGCTGCACTAAAACGGTATTGATATGTGGGGTGTAACGTCCCAAAACCACCATATGATTACGTCGTAGTGGAGGGCTCCGGGAATTTCGACCACCTGGGGTTGTTTAACGTGCACCCAAATCTGAGTACACGGGCCTACAGCCGTTTCGCCTCCATCGCAAATGCAGTCGCCAAAGCCGGAATTCCATCCCGTGACCTGCGGGCCAGCAGCCGAGTATCTTAGCAACTAGGACCACCGTGGCAGGGTGCGCTGTAACGCTAATAGAGCTTTCTATTGTGGCCTTGGCCCATTACACGCGCCCTTTCGCCCAAAACTCCCATTTCTGTCACGCGGAACAGAAGCGCAAGCGTCTTCGTCATCATCATTTAGGGTCATCATCGTCATTGTTTCGTTTCATTTTATAAATCAGCTAGACGGCACCTTTGTGACGCCTTATAGTACTACGCCTAGCGCCATTACTGCTATTACTACTACAAGCAGTATTGCTTAGGTGGAAACGGCACTTGCTTGACTAAGATAGCTCCACGGTTGAAACCTCTGAGATAATGAGCACCAATCGGGGAATAGCGAGAGGTATGGGAGGGAGAAAGAAAGGCGGGGTCCGTTAGATGGCACCCTAATGACGCTAATTGCGGTGAGCGCGGCAGAGTCATGCCGAGATTCGCTTCGTTCCGTTTCCGCTTTCTCGTGGTTCAGTGCGGGAGGATTACTCCGCCTTCCACCGTCGTCGTTGTCGCTCTCACCTCCCCACTCTTGGCGCTCTTCCTCCTGCTTTCCAATGATCGCTTTCCTTGAGCTCCGTAATTGAGACCCGGTGATCGCCGTTGGCGAATCACGTGTTGTGAGCTCGCCCGCCCATCACGATGAAAGCCATCCTTACGTATACTTGCCAGTAGAAACTTTACTCGGAACGTGGCCTGTTGGGTACTAAATGCTCGTTGGCATGTCATTGCCGACAACTGTACGTAAAGTCTGCAACATCGAAATTGCTTTCTGAAATCGTGGTCGTCCAGAGGACAAGCGTGAGGGCCGCTATAGGTTTGACCTGATCTGACGTTCCCCGAGGAGCCCAGTCAGATGACGGTGAGTTTACTTGCATCCATTCTGAAACGAACAAAGTGTTTCTTTCACTTGACGCTTACTGATGTCTCTGAGAGGGGGTGAAAAAGGAGGGGGTACTAAATGATCAAAGTTTAAAAAAAAAGTCGTGTGGTTACTTATATATTTCCCTAAAACGACTCTATGGCAAAAGCAATCTTGACTACATCTCTTAAACGACGCCCTTTGACTACATCCCTCTTGACTACAGCCCTTAAAAGACGAGAATACTGTGAGAGAGACAACCGGGCAAGCGCTTTCTGTCGTCTTCCATGTCGTTGCCTTTTGTAGCGCCAAATAATGATATCAATCGTTTACAGACTGGCCCAGCATCTTGCCACATTCTTGGCTTTTGTTTTTCAGTTGACATTAGTGACCCTAACGCTTTTCCGGAAGCTTTGTGTGCGTGGAAGCTTTGTGTGGTGCAGCACATCCTCGGGGATGGACCTACTGTTGACCAGGTGATTTCACGCGATTACGTCATCACGTGATGTATTTGACCACGTCACTTTTGGGAACCTCTGGGCTCACATCCTCACTGCTGATGTCCACTTTTCGGGTTTCGTGAAGAATCAAACGGTTCGCACTAGCAAAAGAAACCCGAAAGTTACAAAGTAGCTGCAGTAGACTCTATCTCTCTCTCTTTTAAGTGTGAATACATTTTATAAGCGACCCCAAACCATCCACCGCCGTCGGCGGCGTCCGCAGTCTTCTCTCTATCCTTAAAAGAAAGAGGACTTGGCGGGCCGCAGCGCGACGCTCTACCGAATAAGCCACGGACGCGACGCTGATATCCCCCTTCGCTCGCTCCTACGCTCTCCTCGCTCACTGCAGCTGCGCGCGCACCCCACTCTCTCGCGCGCCCGCCTTCTCTCTCAGTCTCCCGTCGAGAGCGGGTCGTGCGATGGATGTCACGGAGGCAACGCTACTATCAACAACGAATGCAGTACAACCGAATGCCAGCACTGCACCCGTCGTTGGAGGTGACGGTACCGCGGTAGTTTCGCCGACGTTGGAAGACAAGGCGGCGCTGTGAAGGGCTCGTGAGACCGAACGTAAGCGGGCGAAGCGTGCAGCGGATGCCGAATGGCGTGCTCGCGAGGCCGAGTGGAAGCGGGCGAAGCGTGCAGCGGATGCCGAACTGCGCGCTCACGAGGCCGAGGACAAGCGGGCGAAGCGTGCAGAGGATGCCGAACTTCGCGCTCGCGAGGCCGAGGACAAGCGGGCGAAGCGTGCAGCGGATGGTGAACTGCGCGCTCGCGAGGCCGAGATGAGGCGTCAGCATCGAGCCGCGAACGCGGCCCAAGAAGCAGAACGACAACGCAAGCGTCAGGCGGAGAAGGGCGATGAAGGCCGGCTTCAAGACGCCGCTCGCAATCGTCAACGGCGAGTGGACGTTTCCGAAGCCGTTCGAGCCAGTGAACGTGCCGCGCGGGAGAGGGTGCGAGCCCTGGACTTTGCTCGTCCGGGGCTCGCATGCTATGAGGGGGAGTAAAGTTAAAATCCGTTGGCATTCGCTAGTGAGTTAACGTAAACTCCCCGTGTGATCAAATTGCGATTCCCAGGAACCATTACACCATAAAGGCACCATAGTGTGATTAATAAATATAATAGTGCGAATTAATAAATACCCCTCATAGCATCACCCCGTGCATTCGCACTTAGCCATGTTCACCCTCGGGGAATTGCTTGGGTTTTTTTTAATATAACCACGATAGGGTCGACTGACTGTTCATTCAGTGCTTTCGAACGACGCAAATCCATGACAAGAGCAGTGATGTAGGGCTTGCACACCTAGTTCACCAGTTCACTTAAGGTGCTTGATTAGTCTGCTATACGCCCTTCCCTTTCGTCATAACAATGAAGATTAATGCCGTTTACCCTATTCGGCTCGAGTGGAACATTTATCGGAATACTGAATGGTCTGGGTGATGTTTGGTTGAACGTAACCAGTGTGTCACACACTGACCGCCTAGGCCTTCCCATTCACTGCTCCGCTATGTAGCGCATCACTTCCTCGCGACTGAGGTTTCAGTGCACGTCTAATGTATTCGGAACGAGGACGCGGTGCGGTGCGAAACGACCATGGTGAAAAATTTTGCCTGTCGGCGCGCTTCCCCGCGACACACCGTAAAGGGTGATAAGCTGCCGAGGCCCGTCGCTCGGCCGCTCACTCCGCCGCTCATTGGGGTTAATGCCAACGTCGCAGTCGTAAACGTGAGCGACGCATCAGAGCACCGCCGCTCAACCTTCGCGAGCGGTGCGCCGCTCCTCGCGCCACTGAGCTTTCCAGCAGGGTCGCCGCCGCCGCCGCATTAGGGGGTCTTCGCGCTTGGTCGACGCTGCCGGCCCCGGGTCTTTAGCCGGCTCATTTCGGCCGTGCTCTCGAGACCCTGTGGAGTTGGCGGCGCTGCCTGTTTTCCTACGCGCGCTAAAGCTCCCGGAGATGTTGGTAGTTAGGTGGATTGCGCGCTGTCGCGAACGGAGGTCAAACCGGCCCCGTGGTGTGTACTTGGCTTCTGTTAGGCTGCGTTGTTTTTGACACCGACATTGTTCGGCTGAGGGCGCAGTATGCGAGGAGTTACCGTCTCGTCGGAAAACTTGCAAGCGGGCGTACCACTTTGTCAGAGTTGTTCTCGCGACAGCTGCTAAAGCTTCTACGAGAAATTCGGGTCGCTTTTATCCGGGATGAAAACAGGGTTTCCGCGTGACTTGAACCGCGAGGTGCGGTAACCAATTTTCGCCGCGAGCGCTAATCGATGGTCTCCAAAAGGGTAGTGGTCTTACTGCAGGTAATTAGACGGGCCTTGCGTAGAAGCCCGTTGGGGTGGTTGCTTTGTCTGTTGGTATATTTAGTGTAACAATGAAAGAACTCTGATTGGGAAGAGTAAGCACCGTGCCCCCCCCCCCCCCCCCCAAACGAGAAAAAAAAAAAAACGCCGACACGAGAACGCAAAACGGGCCAGGGTTTTCTGTGTTGCTCCATTGCTGACCCCAAGGTCGAGGGATCGAAAGCCCCGCCGCGGCGGTCGCATTTTCAATTGGGGCAAAATACTGTAGGCCCATGTACTGAGATTTAGGTGCACGTTAAAAATCTCCAGATGCTTCAAATTTCTGGTTCCCTCCGCTACCACCTCTCTCACCATCATACAGCATATAGCTATTTGGGACTTTAAAGTCAGAAGCTGTTATTATTATTATTATTATTATTATTATTATTATTATTATTATTATTATTATTATTAATATTATTAATATTATTATTATTATTAATATTATTGCTGCTGCTGTTGTTGTTGTTGTAATATTATTATTGGAGTAGTAGGCCTAGCACTAACTTCAAGAACGGATTTTTCCATATACTCACCCAAGTTTCAGTTCTAAGAGGCACTGCGCCAAAAGTGGCCCCTTTCTATAAGTTATTATACACATGTGCTCCAAGAGGCCACATGTAGGGGCACCGCCGAGTCGTATTGTTAAGGCGCCCTTTGCGCTTTGGATGTGAACTGGCAGCCGGCCGTGCTCTCGCGACTGATCTGACTGGCTGCGAACCAAAAAACAGGAAATCGCCAAGGGCTTCGTTTGTTTGTGAGAAAGAACCTACTGAAAACAAGCTAAAGCGAAGCCAAGGAAACTGTAGGAAGCAGTGGTTGTAGCCTAGTCAAGTTCATTTTAGTAATTGTAATATATATATATGATAACCTGAAGTAAAAAAAAGAATAGGTACTGGTCCCAGGACCTTCGAAAACACTACATTATGCTGCGGGATGTCTACAATGGTAATGTCTATAGGCTCCGTCAATAATGGAGCATCTGGGCTGTCCGTGTGGACACACACGGGATGGAAGAGCCAGCGAGATGAGTTCGCCGACTGATTAGAGCCGTGGATTTTAAGAAGTTCGAATCGGTGGACCATCTTGATGACATTTAAATTATAAAGGTATTTCTAATCATATTCGTGTTTTTTGTATGAAAACTTCTCCAATTGTGATTACAAATATGAATAAAATTATGAATTGTCGTACAAGTATGCACGCTTACTTTGTCCGTTCACTATACATCCATGAACGTTGCCAGTTGCGACGAAGAGTTGTCGTTCCCTTCAGTGTACTTTTAACGTACCTAGTAGCACACCTTTGTTACTTGTGAATGCGCTTCTCGACAAGTTGAAGAGCACTGTTGGTCATTGACTGTTTGATCGAGTCAGGCTGGTCTGAGAATCGGAGACATGCTGCAAGAAGTACATGTCGCACTTGTTGCAACAAATGCATGCGTGGTTTACTGCTAGAAGGAACAGAAATTGAGTTCCCATCCAGCAGCAAGCAGACGAAAAGGGAGGTGGTGGAAGCCTGCGTTATAAAAACGTCTGCGGGGGAGGGGGAAGGGAGGACTACGTGTCGAGGCTAGATGGCGTTGGTAGCCAGGTCACCTCTGCGCATGCGTGTAGTTTTCATATATACCTAATGTCCCTTACCGTAATATACAGCTTGCATGTTAAATACGAGTCCTTGTCTGTGCATGACTCTTTCAGATTTTCGCACAGGATGATCACACTGTCCGAAACGAAATCATTAGGTTTTGCCATTTTCAACAACAAATTACTGCTCATGTCGATATCAATACCAAGTGTCTTGGGTAGTAAATGTGTTGTATCTCTGAAAAACTGAGTTGAGCAAAATGCGTTAAATTCAAACCTTTTAAATAAGGGTACAATTATATAAATATTATTTGCCGATTTGAAATTCATGTTTTTTTCATTCTGTCTCTTTTTGCTTTGCTGAATCGCATGTATGTGTGAAAACTGTTGTATGTGAACAGATGTGAATATGTTGTGTTAGTTTATAAAGGGAAAGTGTTCAGATATTGTTTATACATGGATATGTGCTTTCTTCCTCCTTTCTCTCTCTCTCTCTCTCCTCTCTCTCTCTCTCTCTATATATATATATATATATATATATATATATATATATATATATATATATATATATATATATATATATATATATATATATATATATATATATAATATATGCTGTATGTTTTGTCACCGAGCCAAGGAGGCAGGAACCTCGTTAAGCTGCTGTTTTGCAGCTTTTTGTTCCTTGCCCTGGTGTTTTTTTTTTCTTGTAAACAGGAATTGGGAAACAAACTCGAAACTTGAAAAAAAAAAAAAAACAACGAATAGCCCATTTTTCTCGTTGAGTCATTTCCGCAGTATACGAGCGACGCTTTTTGCCTGTCCTGGCGCAGCCGGTACTCTCCGCTGGCGGGTGACCTGCTGGCCAACCCGCTGCTGGCCGGCTCGGCCATGAACGGCTCCGGCTGGTGCATCTTCGTGTACAATCTGGCGCCGGACACGGAGGAGAACCTGCTGTGGCAGCTGTTCGGCCCGTTCGGGGCCGTGCAGAGCGTCAAGGTCATCCGAGACCTGCAGACCAACAAGTGCAAGGGCTTCGGTTTCGTCACCATGACCAACTACGACGAGGCGCTGGTCGCCATACAGAGCCTCAACGGATACACGCTCGGCAACCGCGTCCTCCAGGTCTCCTTCAAGACCAACAAGTGCAAGTCTTAAGAAGCGGCTGGCCGCATCCCCCGCACACACCCACACTACACTACACCACACAACACGCTGCACCGTCCGATACAAGCGCCCGTAAAAGACGAAATAATTGGCGTTCGCTAGGACCCCTTTAATGTAAACATGGCGGCATTGTACCGGACGGTGTGCACGATATACACTCTTTCTTTCCCTCTTTTTCTTTTTAAAGAACCTTCTACCCCGTAACCAAAAATGGTGACTAGAGTAATTCTCTCGCTTTTTTTATTGAAACAGGAACCGGAAATGAGACAGGCAGAAAGAGCAACTACACAAATACGCGAGTACATACACCCGCGGAACAAGAGACACATTTCACTCATGGAGATGCTGGCACAGACCGATATGGAGACCGCGGAGAACTCTTGCCCCTAGCCCTTCACACCGAACGACTCTTTTTGACAAGAACGCGCAGATGACCTTTGACGCTGAAAGATGGGAAGCGAAGGAAACGAGAAACATAAAAGAAGCATCCCGGGGCACTGGAGCTTAAAGAGCCGAACGCTGAGGGCCCTGCGAACGCGATACGCTATGGATGTTTGTCGATAGGAGTTAAAAAAAGGCGACGTATTATTATTTTAGAACAAGCTAACTTGCCCACGCATCTGCGAACCTAGTTTTATTGCAAAACAAAGAAACAAAGACCACGTGTTTAAAAATGTCAGAGTGGGAACCAGTTTCTTCAGATTGTACAAATTATTTCACGCGCTCTTGATTGGCGTCCTTGAGCTACCGCAAGATACGTAAAATTTACGCGTACTTCACGATCAAGCATTGTATACCACTACGAAACTGCCGTCTGTGTTGTCGAACATCTCTTCAGTAACTGACAAAGAGCTGGAAATCTCACAGGAGACAACTCTCATGAAAAAGCGTGAAGTTGCGTGTTTTGTACACAAACGCGGCATGCCTCTCAAAACTCCACGTTTTGCGAAGGTTTTCTGGAGTGCATCGCTGAGCAGGAATTTTGGGTATGTCGGAATGGGGTTGCACTTTGGATTCCTTCGCCAGAAAAAAAAAACTGAGAAAAAAAAACTAAAAACGCCGTACCACTCGTTCATTTAAAAGTGTTCCATAACGTGGGCTTGAATGAATATCGACTTAAACCTCGCAAGAAGAGCTTACGTGCCTTCTATGAGAGCTTTGGAACTAGTTTTTGAAATTGCGAAAGCAAAACAAGAGCAAAAAGAAGGCGTAGTAGGACGCGAAAACGTAGGTGCCCGAGGCTCGTGCTTCACACGCACACACCAAACATACACGCACCAACCACCCTCAAACACACACAAAAAACCAAAAACAAAAACGACTCGTTTGATTAACCAGCCTATGATGATATACTTACGGTACCGTTGTGTTGTCGAAAGCAGCCCAAGTCGTGATGACGACGTAGCAGAGACGGAAAAGAGAGATATACAGAACCGTGACACCTTCATTTATCGCCTGCGAAGAGCTTCTGACACGCGGGAATGATCTCTCACTCGTTGCCTTGGCATGCCGGAAACGACTCGAGTATCGATGATTGCCATTTCGTACGTTCAAACTTAACGCGAGGTCAGGTACGAATTCAGATGAGCTAAGGGGCATTATTTGGTTTTCTCGGGGTATACATCGACTAGAACTGTTTAATACTCTTGACAACCTAAAAACAAAAACGCAATTTTTAGTTCGGTGACTCAGCTATGGAAATAGCGCGTACCAGGCGCAGTTTGGTGAAACTATTCGAATAACTTGGGGCTCTTGCGACAAAAAGTGCTAACTTCAATGACTTCAGAATGAGTCGAAAGAGGTCACACTTTGTATGTTTTAATTTAAAAGCTTGTCGTGATTTGTGGCTGCGCACCGGAAAAAAAACCACAAATGTCTGAGTCCAGGAACAGCGATACAAACAGAAAAAAAGATCGCTGATAAACTTACTGGGTTTGCTTAAATCGGCTAAATCGCGACACTGCTAATGAGTAGAAGAAGCACAGGCTAGTCAGTTCACCGTGCGTTGTATGTAATGGACTTATTTATCTATTTATGAAACTATTTATAAAATTAGTGTCTATCTATATATTTACCTATTTATTTATTTATTGAGGCGCTTGGCTCTGCCTGTGTAGATCCTGAGCTCCAGTCGTCTGGTGAGCGCGGAGTGGTGTCGTCTGCAAAGCAGATCGTAGCACCGTCCGCTACGGAACTCATAGCTCGCTCGCTAGTACTCCTGCGGCCAAGGTACTTAACGGATCACGTCACATGTCGTGTGACCCCCGGGCTTAAGAATTTACACGTGGAGCTTTTATTTAAACGGCGAGATCATGACGAACATCCAGATCACGCTAGCATCGATAAACCTCGATTGTTTCCATCAAGAATGACCACTCAAAAGGGTCAATTATAGATTGAAGTGAATTTTTGAAGCCACAGGTTAGCGAAAGCTGAGAGCGTGGTTGTTAAACTTTACTCGGGAAGTCCTTAAAATGATCCAGTTTCTATTAGCCGTAAACCTAAGTCATTTACTTTGTATGTTGAAGAATAGTTCACTTCTTTCATTTTCAGCACTTGGCCCTTTGTACTTAAACCTTCCATATTTCATTTTGCTCCCTCTGTGAGCTCTCGACGTAACGTATTCGTTCTGTGTAAAGCGCTTCAACTCAGTTTGAGGTTAGGACATTTAAAGGTTGCCCGTGAAAGTGTTGTTAAATATGTAGTACGTAACGTTTGACATTGTGCTGTGTTGTACACATTGTAGAGTGTATGCATGACTGTAGCTCGAAAGAGGAACGAAAGGGGTGTGTCACCCTTGCGTCACGCTGTTTTCTCGTTGTAGCACTGTGCACTGTAAATTGTCGTACACTTCTTTGCTATCGCACCAAACTTATCTTCATACACGAATCAGCCCGGTTATCTGTAGGCTTAGCATGTATCGATCGTCCGACGTGCTTTGCAGTGTGCAAGCCGTTTCGTGTGCGCTATTTCACTGTCTTCCGTCGCGTTGCTTTTCGAAAGCAGCGCAAGAACTTGTGTTCATCGCGAGGAGCTCCCAGGTAAACAATAAATTGTCACTTAAGCGAGTTGTCATTTTTCCAGACATAACACGCACGCCAAGTCGGTTATAATAAAATATTGACGATAGCAATTCAGTTAAACACAACGTCAAAAAAATTCTTCGATTTCATTTCTATCTTTCGCGATGAGGTGTTCGTACCCACACACATCAATTTGTTGTTAGACGTGAGGCTCCTGGCGATGTGCACGACTTCGTGCGGTTTGTGAGAGTCGTCAGCGCCTGGGGAATAAAAAAAGTCAGATGCCGTGTCTGCTGTACAATCCAAAACTTTGAGGTTAGCGTGCAGATTACGCAATGTCAAATCGTTGAGATAGCCCTGAAATGCGCTGTGCCGCTTGACATTTTCAAGCGTAAAGTGGGGTTCCACATTCATTGACAGCAGGTAATTGTGTAAAAAAAGATAATAGACCATAATATTTTTCATTAGCTTAGGGAGTCAATTTTCCTTCGTTGGTACAGGGGTATTTTTCTAAATGAAAAAATAAAGAGCAGCGTTACGCTGTTGTCATCAACAAGGGTCGATTCTAATTGTTTCTGATGATTTCACTGAACAATGATTTGACGAAACAGGCGCTGTCTACTCACACAAGCCGCTACATGGTTACACTCATACTGTCTTCATTCTCGAAAAAAGGGCCGCAGGCAGCCGTCGCCGCCGCCATATTGAGTGAAACTCTAGTCCTTTCGCTGACTTACAAAGAATCGTAACAGGAAAAAAAAAAAAGAAGTCACGCATCCATTGATTTGTCTCGTCCATGAGTGGCCCGCGTCAAGGCGTATACACTGCTGATCTCAGGTCTTCGTCACTCGCGTGTGTTGGAATCTGTGTACAGTATACTATACGGTCGTCGTAGCATTGTACACGTCTGTAGGTATCCTTGTGCAAAAGCACTCGTCTTGTATGTCTACTAGCACAGCTCCGGGCAATTACCGACACGCTGTCTGTAAAGGCCATTGTTTGTATATTCGTCCCGCACACACCCAACTGACTACCCCGAGCAGGGCGAGCCCGCTCGTCGACACCAGTTGACGTTAACAGCGCCGCAAATGAATGCAGTCTCCAGCGTCTTATGCTTCGTCTGTGTACGTGCGGCGTTGCTTCTCGTTGTAGCTGCACACCGATTTAATGCGTTGACAACCCTGTATGCACTGACACTGCTCGTGATTATTTTTTTTCCTTTTTCTCGAGTTAAACTCTGATTGAGGGATAGGTTCGACATTAAGGTTTTTTTTTCATCTTCTTTTTTTTTCTTTTGTGACACTGTTGCGCGACACTTGATGTTGCAGCGCGCGAACAAGCGGAAATGTTTGCACGTGTGAATATTACTTTCCAGTTCAGCACCCTCGGTTTTGTGCTTGCCACCCTGTGATGCTTACGTGACGGTTGTGGTGAAGTTCGTGTTTGTACTTTGCTGCCACACTGTTTGTATTTAACTTCGCTGGTTTTAAAGTGTACCGCGTGTCATGTACCACGTGTTATGTGCTATCAACATTTTGTCGCGCATAGTTTTTGACGATGTGACCCGGTGTGATAACATCTCTAAATATTGTCAGTATGTTCTTTATTTACACAGTGACGTCAATGCATGCCTGTGCGCGCGTATTCTGTGTTGCTTTGGAGTGTCTGTAATATTGCTTTCCTTAGGGGTGTGGGGAAGGAGGGTAACTTAAAAAGAGAAATCTGTCCTCTCGGCTGAGCCCATCCCAGTCTTGAACCTATGCAGCGCGAGAGTGAGTGAAAAAAAGAGGGGGTTGAGAGGGTGTTTATTCGTGGTTATGACGCTGGCGCGACGTCACCGACTTGCACGGACCAATGGGAGAGCCGGAAATGCGTTCTCGAAGAGGGACTCTATGCCGTGGTGGTAATGAACACGAAAATAAGCCGAGACAGAGGTAAAGACATAAAAAACAAAAAACAACACATGATTACTTTGGGAACCGGGGGTTATATGAACAAAACAAGAAAAAAATTCGCATTCCCGAAAGACAATGGCGGTGCGCCACTTAAAATGCTTCTCAGTTAGAAAAGCAGGCTTTCAAGATGGCTGAAATCACTTTTTTCAGGCGGTAACCTTTTAAAGTGAACTTTTAAAGAAGAGCCCCACGGTGGCACAGGAATAAGCACAAAGAACTTGGTAAGCGCTTACCGCAGAGATCACTCAACCGATTCCTGTCGTCGAAGCGTTTGTTTTCGCAATGAATTCGATAGCGCTGTCTTTTTACGATCGTGGCCACGCTGCCGACTTTTAGAAAATCTAACCGACACAAGGTCTAACACTGCCACCAAACACACGTGTAGAGTGCAAGCCGATCGACCACGTGGTCAGGTCACTACACTTAACTGGTAACTTGACTAGGAGTATCATTTGTTGCTTCTCATGCGTTAAGTTGCATTTGTGTTTGTCTTTTTTTTTCTTATGATGTATAGCTTCTTTGGAATAGAGCGATACTTTCGTCCCAATATTTACGTTCGCACAAAGCTAGTCGCTTCTGACGTGCACAATGCCTTTTTTATTTTTGTTTAATTTCACAGTTATTTATCTCGCCTAAAATGTAGATGTGTTTTTTACTTTTACAAGGACATTTAGAGTATCACCACTGCTTTTTTTTTTTTCTCGCAGCGTTTGACCGAGAAAGCATTGCTTTGTTTCATTTGCCTGTGTTGCACATTATCCCGCCTGTGTTTGTTTGCTGTCATGGACTGACGTGCATTGCAGATTACAATGCCCTCTTTTGTTAAATCCTTGGTTCGGGTTTGTTTTGATTGGTTTATTTGATTTTTGCTTTGCGTTTGCTTCTGTTTTTGATCCTGAATTCCCTCAGCATCTCGTTTGAAGCATGGAAACATCTCTCATTGCAACACTTATTGCTTTTTCTTGAGCGAAGATACAACAATACTGTCAGTCATTCCGCTTTCAATGTTCACATATTGTCTGTCAAACCAGTAAAAAAGTATTAAAAGTGTGTCTCATGTTTTAAACTGACTAATGGTTTTTCCTTTGTTTCCTTGGGTTTGTTTTTGCATGCAGGTTTATTTTTATTTACTCCACTTCATTTTTATTGTGTTGGTGCTTATTTTTTTTTCAGCCCTTCAGGAACTGATCGCCGCTCATGAGCCATTTTTGCACCTAAAAACACAGAAGCAAATCTTTTTAGAGGAACACTTACATTCCATTTTTTTGTAATTCCCTACTTTTTTTCGCATTTACCTAATAAGATGCTAGGCAGAGCTGCTGGTTTATCTGCTCGATAGTGGCGGCAGGGGATATTTGACAAGTTTTGCGCAATAGGCACTTCTACACATTGCACGAAAGCTGAAAGAAATGCTTATTACAAAGTGCGTTAGTGTGCGAGCTAGCTTTGTGGAACATAGTCTGCTGTTGCTATCGTCGAGGAAAGGAAACAGCATAGGGGGCACTATCGTCGTCAGCGATGCATCAGCGCGGGTGTCAAGAGGTTGTGTCCCGAGTGTCAACGATGAATTCAAAGGTGCTAACTTGTTAAGTACTGTTACCACGGTTCTAATAGTCTCTGAGGTGTTTTCATTAGAAGTCGTCCACGCCATTATCGTACCTTGCATGCTGTAAGTGCTAAGGGTACTTCTTTAGGGTTTGATAACTACTGATGCAATGCTATTTTTGTTTTGGTCTATTTCACCCGATCAAATCAGTAATTGCAAATCTGACAGCTGCCCAAAAGGATCAAAATACCATAGCGACTAGGCGTCTCGTCATGCAATGACCAGAATGCAGGGATCAATGTGAGCCAGTTGTTCAGCCATTTGGACTTTTTCAAGTGGAGCCAAGTGTACTGGAAAATTGTCTCAAAGTGCAGTGCTGGTAATGGTGGCCCAGTTCACTTATCGGCCTGCCGTAGTACAAAAAAATTTAGCGTATATATGTGAACACAAGACGGCAACTTCATTAAGGGCCTCGCACTTGAGTTCTGAGTTTCATCACGACCATAAGCTCTACACATTGGCTAGGCCACGTTATTTAAACACCTAACAAAAAGCAACAGTCATTCGACAGAAACCGTATTAGTATGTGCTGCGATGTGTTTCTGTTGTTTTAGTGTTCTGAAAACCTACCAACCGTTAGCTAGGGCCAATGGAAAGTCACTGCTACTTAGATACCTATATGTGATTGAATATTAGTGGCCAGCCCAATTTAACTCTCAGTTACAATGTCTGCACATCAGAAAATGCTGCCGAAGATAAACCACAGTTGTGAACCATGTTGAAATGGTTGCCAGGAACCTCCGAAAAAAAAAAAAAAACTTGGGAATATTCCACGCACATTAGCGCTGAAAACCCGAGCAATACGAGTCGTATTCCTCTTTGCTCCTCCTTTCTCTCACTCTCTCTCGCTACTCTATGTGTCTATGTGTTGAAATGCGTCTATCGTGATGGACAGGCTATACCATTTATGATGGCGTTGTCTTGTGGTTGGCCTTCTGCAGGACTGGGCGTCGATCCTTCACCTAATTGGAATGGCCCCGCGTTACACATGTGGACTTGTGCTAATAACAATTTGGTTGTACGAGATACGATACCAGCAAAAGGGCAATGAATTCTGCGTTCGTCGCCGTGGTGTTGTTGCGGTTACAGGGCTCGGCCGCTGACACGAGGGTCGTGGTTTCGATCCTGGCCTTAGTGGTCGCATGTTGACGGTGGCTGGAGGCTTATGTACACACTTCAAGAACACCAGATGGTCAAAATTTCTCGAGGCCTCTACTACAAAGTCCCTCATAATCATATCGTGTTTTAGGGACACCAGAATACCAAGCACAGATATCATTAACAAATCATGCGTTAGACTCAAACTCCACGATCCGGAAAGGTGAGTATTTCGTATATATGGTCCCAACCTGACGTTGGGGATCACATTTTCTGAAAACTTTGTCTACGTATTGGCGCCCAGTTTTCAAGGAATAAGGTTGTAGTGCTATAGTCGAATGTAAGTCGAGTTGGTGCTTTAGATAACTGTTAAGAAATGGCACGTTGTTTGAAAGGTTGTAATTTCTTGGCTGAAGCTCCGGGAAATTTATTACGGTTCAAGCCGCCTGAAGCTGTCTAGGCAAGGTCGACAGAGGAGACGCCCAGTCCTTCTACAGGTATCAATGCAACAGCGAAACCTGCTAGTCCTTTGAGGGCAGCTACTAATTGAAATGACTGTGCGAAAGCAAGTGAACATTGCTTTCGCGTTTCCCGCGTGTTGGTGTTACTATGTTACCCCGTGTGTGCTCGCGAAGTGATCTCTCAATATTGGAGTCATTTTCATGTCATTACGTCGTTTTTCTTCTGCCTATAGCGACATCTTCGTTTGTGCAGTGTTGTTTCAAGAGAAGCGTTTGTATGCTTGTTTTTTATTGACTGATGTTTCTCGTAACACAGACGTCTAATTATTAGCTAGTGCGGTGAATGGTAACCTCACTTGTCCTGACTTCTTACTGGTATAGAAGCTACGTTACCCTTTATTTTTTTCCGTAGCCTCTTTGGCATTCGACCGTTTGATTCACGCAGTTCATTCTGGGTGGTTTCCATTTCCTTGACACATTCCTGTTGTGATATTTCAGCGCCATAGGATACTTTTCATCCCAGGCGATAAGCTGGCGTTCGAAATCTAGTACGCCTTTGGTGGATAAGTTGCACATTCCGGTTGTAACAACGACTCTAAATTTGTTATGCCGTGTGTATGTGCATCAAGATATGCATGTTATAAAATTGAACATTCCAATCTTTATACTGAAACAGCGTTGTTAGATTGTCAATTGCTCTATAAACACTCGAGAGTGCAATAGCCAAATCAGTCATGCCAGTTCAATGTTAAACATGAAATGCGTTCTGCACGAGCGAATAGGAAAGAAATCGTCGGAAACGTTATTTTACCGACTGCATTTGAAATATCAGCGCTCTTGTTCTCATGAGGAAGTGCTGGATATTGCAACGTTGCCGCAAATACATCGGGTCATCATCAATAGCCCGTTATCCTCGCTTTTAGTCCGAGCAGTGTTTCCGAACAACAATATAAATTTTCGCTAGCTGACAACACGCATCATTCCAGATACACTGACATGCATAGTGGTCTACTGTTACAGGGAACATCGAAGTGTGTGGCAGCCTTTTAGCGGCTGCGCGAGCTCTGATAGTACTGCAACTGTGCTCTGACGATCCCCCTCACAGGTGTAGCACTGCGTATGACGTTTCTCTCTGTACTTCGCAGACATTCCATTGCCACTCGTTTTGTGGATGGTGAGTTATAGGAAACGATTTTTTTTCGTTTGCTGCGGACTCATACGGTGTTCAGGTTAGGGATAACAGATCACGGCAAAACACTGCCCTCCACCCTACACACCGGCTGGGAACAGCACTGTTCGAAGCGATAAGTGCTTTTTTGATGAAACTACAGCACGAGGGAGAGATTGTGAAGCGGGACTGCCGTATTCCACAAAAAATATTCTGATATATCACATAAGTATAATATATACAAATAGTATTTATGAACAACGAAACGCTCTTTGCCACTCCGACCCCCGCGCGCCTGTTTCCCATGCCCTAGGAACGACGAACGTTTCTTCTGCGCGGATGGACGAGCAGATGACAAGGAGCCAGTTCTCCATTTTGGTAGTCTGCTGCGAAAAACATAATACAATTTCATCAGCTCGTGCAGCGTCATCTGCTCGAAGAACTGCCCCTTCGTCTTGGAGCATGGCAAAAAATTGGCCTCAGGGGTAAATCGGGGTGTCACGGTATTTTGCAACCCAGAGCACGC